GAATAAATCACTATATATATATATATATATATATATATATATATATATATATATATATATATATATATATATATATATATATATATATATATATATATAGATTCGCTTACATAAAAATCCCACAACAGTCTGTTTCATCACTATATACTCAAAATTCCGCAACAGTCTGCTGATGATTCTTTACTGATGAAACAGACTGTTGCGGAATTTTGAGGTAAGCGATTTAATCTTAAAAATTTAATCTTAAAAATATTACATGTTGTGGTAGTAAAGTTTTTATATGTATATATAAACTTTATCTTTAAACTAAGATTTCCGCCTGGTGTGTCAATTGCCTCATGTTTATATATCATTCAACTTTCTAGACACAGACAAATCCAAAGAGAAAAAAACTCCTGAAAAAAAGTTTAATTTTCGGGAAAGAACTAACTTGAAGGTAAAAAATTAATATTGACTAAGCCGATTATTACAATTTTATCCAGTTTCACAAGCATAATTTACCATTTATAATGTTAAGTAAACCATATTACTTTAAATTTGAATTTAGAGGAAATATCGATCAAGTGTGTACGAGCTGGGCACTCTTATTACCGACGAAGAATCGCATGTCATTCCAAAACCCTTTAAGGCGGACATAAAGGAGAAGAAAAAAAAACGAAAAGAAAATGTAAACAAAATGGATGAATGGACATATACGGCTGATGGTGAACTGTGGACAAGAACTGCAACAATTGTAGCCAAGAGGAACCGAAAAGTGACAACATATTCAATGTGGAAGCAGAACAAAACTGACAACGAGGTCGGTGCGTGTGTGGTAATAGAAAAAAATACCAAATTTTTCACCGAGTGGAAAAGCTTAGAAAAAGACGAAAAACAGGTATACTATAGCTGTAAACGATAGACGATAAGTGATATAGACAATAATTGGAAAGGTATGTTAAGTTAATCGGTATAACGGAAACAAATTATCGTTTGTCTAGCAATGGTATTTGTGTACTCTTGCCACTTCAATGCTTTTAGACTTAATTAGTGATTCATATACGTAATATTAATTTTTTTGTTGTCTATTGAAAATTCGTCTCACATTCTTTGAAAATTCTTGTACTTTGGAAATTCGGGCTCCGAGACGATACGTTGTTCAACATTTCCCAGATAAGCACATGCATGTTGACTGATTTGTACCAACGTTTTTTCACCGTTTTTGTAGCGCTGGAAACTACTTGCAGACAAAGAAAACCAGGGCTTTGAGTTTCGATAAAAAAATCTTTGGGATGATGGATTTCCTGACAAATGGATGGCTTTCCTATCGCGCAATCTGTCAAATGTCCAGTCTAATTTGCGAAATGCAATTGCAGAATGTGAGACAGGTTCTAGCAGAAAACCTGTTCCCATGACTTATCAAAACTTTGCTAGCGGTATTTATCAAACTTACTGCCGAAATTGGTGTGACGCACCGGGTGATGATGTATTCGTCGAAATGAATGACACTTTCTTTGCCAAATGTGCAATTGTCGTTTTGAAAGACCACGGTCTCTTCTCCACATTTATTCCAAGCTGGGTGTTAAACGTCGTGAATGAGGAATTTTTCAGTCTCCTACACCAGTACATGAACTATCTCACTGGCAATCCACTTTCTTTAGTGCAACTATGTAGAAAGGCTCTTTCAAGCAATGGTTCGTCTCTACTAATTAATCTTTTCCGCACCATTGAAAGGCAAGATATCAGAGAGTGTTTGTTTCATATGTGTTATCCAGAGTAGAATCGTCAAACGTATATATATATACATACCAAATATGTATTTAGAATCATATATTATGAGTAGTAGAGTGCTCGATATACCGAAGCATAGAGCTAATAAAGATAAAGATAAAATAAACCTGGTTTACTTCATAAGATTTTATTCACTACAAACTTGTTTCGTATGACAAGCAATGCTAGTCACACTCATCAGGTGAATTTAAATGTCGCCATTTAAATTCACCTGATGAGTGTGGCAAGCATTGCTTGTCATACGAAACAAGTTTGTAGTGAATAAAATCTTATGAAGTAAACAAGGTTTATTTTATCTTTATATTTATATATTTTATATTATATATTATATATTATATATTATATATTATATATTATATATTATATATTATATATTATATATTATATATTATATATATTATATATTATATATTATATATTATATATTATATATTATATATTATATATTATATATTATATATTATATATTATATATTATATATTATATATTATATATTATATATTATATATTATGTATTATATATTATGTATTATGTATTCTATATTCTATATTCTATATTCTATATTCTATATTCTATATTCTATATATATATATATATATATATATATATATATATATATATATATATATATATATATATATATATATATTTATGTACTATTTAAAACACGAGTGGGAGTGTTTTATCAGACATAAAACTCGAGGCGCAGTCGAGCGTTTTATGTCTGATAAAACACAAAAAACGAGTGTTTTGAATAGCATAGCTTAAAATACGACTACAAAAGAATACTAATTAGGATGAACCATTATATAATCATACTCTGGTAATCATACTAATTAGGATGAACAATTAATTATATAATGCCGCATGCTGTATCAGATATAAAGACACTCCACGTGACATATTATGGCTGACATGATTTGCCACAAGGTTTATGAATTATTAATGAGTATTTTAAGTATATATAGACAGTCGTTTTAAAGGCTGAACTGGTTAATATATAAGACACGCTAGCAACGAATATGCATGCTATAGCGGAATTGTGACCATATTTGATCAATTGATATTTATTTGATCATATTAGTTTACACTCCTGGGGCCGGTTATACGAAAGGCGTTTAGTCGCTAACCAGCGTATACATTTCTTATCTAGCGGATAGTTAAAAACGGCCGCTAATAAAAATTGCGTTGTACGAAGCCCGTTTAGTACCGCGTTTGACTATAGAAGTGGATAGGCAAAATTTAATCGGTGGATAGCGCTAAACGTGCTTCGTACAACGCGATTTCTCGAGCGTTTAAATTTTATCCGTCGGATAGCAAGTTAACCGGTGGATAGCGACTTAAACGCCTTTCGTATATTCTTTTTGTTTAAAACTCTTAATCACTTTTTTAATCACTATTTTGTAGTTAAATAGTGATTAACCTTAACTCTCAAATACGCGCTTCTTATTGGATGACGTTTCCACTTAACTTTAGACCCATTGCACTCGACGTCACAAATCGTTAGAGTGCCATCCAGATGCTCCTAGGCCTAACAATATCTGTTCGGGTACAACAACCACATACACCGAAAAAAATTGACCATTTTAATACAAAATTATAATAAAGTTTTACAAAATTTGTTTTGTTTACAAAAGTTCTATTACGCATAGATTGTGACGTCATGTGCAGATTGCTAATTTGTCCTCCAGATGCATCGTCACAGGTGCTGTGACGTCATGTGCAATGGGTCTATAGTTAACTTTAATCAATTTTTTTATACAATTGGCCCCTGACACTGTCACAGCATTATAACTAGAAGTTACTATCGCAAGTGAAGTGCTGCCTTGCATAAAGTGTGTGTGTGTGGGAGGGGGGGGGGGGGGGGCGTTCCCCAAATAACGAAAACAAACGCAAATATTAGTGAATTTATGTAAAATTAAAATTCGTTTAATTTAATATATGAATATACAAATTGGCAAGGTCTCAGACCGCATTTTATACAATTTACAGACAGTATGACTATAATTAATTAATGTAGACTTTGTGCACAATTCATTTATCTGATGATATAGATAATTATGTAAACAAAAAGCCAGGAACAAACAACAAGGCACTAATTGAATAAATATGTTGTTTATATTGTAACATATGGATATTGACGTCTTTGCCCAGAATGCAGTATCTTGAAGGTTGGATAGAGGTATAATGATAGGTACACATATCCATGATTTCGCATTTATACTGCAACTGTATACATATTATCGTTGTCCAATGGCACACATGAGATAGATAATGCCTCCATGTAATTCAAAATAAGCAAGTTCTTGAAGAAAATTCCAGTACAGTTGTGAAATTATAGTGTATTCACTATTTCACTATCCGCACATACTGTAACTTTGTGAACCAATCCATCGTTACTGTAGATTATTTCCCAAAGTCTAAATTTGTTGTAGTAGGTAATCATAGCATAGTTGTAGTCCCAAAGATTTCAGTGCTGGAGTTGGTGCATCAATATTCTTTGAGTTAATAGCAAATATAGCAAAATAATAATCCATTTCTTTAAAGTGATAATCCATTTCTTTAAAAGTAATAATCCATTTCTTTTGGAACAAACAATTTGTTACAAATACCAGACTTTGTGCTAAACATCCATGTACAGTCTCCCTTCAGAGTATTAAAAACCCTGTTAAAAACCTATAAAAAGAAAAAAATGATTTGTTAGTAGCCAAAACAATGACCTAAACCTATGCCTATACTCGACTGTCGTGGGACTTTGAATGAGGCTAATAATTTTATTGCAGAAAAATATACTTACCAATCTTCACCTTGCCAAACATCAAATTTCATACATGAACGGAGATAAAACAAATTTAATTATAATATCATTATCTTTAACTTATATAATATTACAGTACGAAATGTGTAATACATTTCATTGAGTGATACATGTACATAACAGTACATACAAACTTAACTAAGTTCCGCCATTGGAATTCTTGACATTATTCAACCACAATGGTTTGACGACCTATATTTGCACTGTGTGTACTTCGTGCTAAACGATCTAGCCTGTTTTCTTCTTCCAGCCTGAACTGCAAATTTGCTGAAGATTTTAAGCTTGTCAGTCTTTCGTAAGTCATTGGTTCAATGACACAAGATGATAGTGTTTTTACTCTACTGATTGCAACGTAAGAGACTCCGGCGGTTCTCTCAGACTTACCAATATCTATCCAAGCTTTTGATAGGGTGAGTCCCTGACTCTTGTGAATAGTTAGAGCCCAAGCAAGTCTAAGAGGCAATTGTTGTCTCTCGTGGAAACCATTTCCTGACTGTGAGGAGACAGTGATTGGACATATTGGGACACAAGATGGTTGAGTGTCATCAAATGAAGGACCCCTGTAGTTATCAAACTGAACTACAACACCAACAGGTAAGTCTGGTGGCCGATGGTTGCTTTCAAAGATAAAATCAATGACTGTCCCAGTGGCCCCATTGCAAAGCCCAACATTTGACCATAAATTCATGGTTAACATCACTTTAGCACCTTTTGCTAAAAACACCACAGGTTCTAATCCTGACATATCTTCTGAAGCAATTTTCTTTGCAATTGCCGATGAATGGCGAGCATTGATATGAGCAACTGGTTGCTCAAGTTTACTCAGTTGGTCATGGTTGTAATTTGCAACCTGCTCATTGCTATAGAAAAGTCTGGTAGCATCTTCAAACTCACTCAAATTTGTAATTGCTGAAGGTTGACGAGTCAAAAGTAATTTCCAGTCATCAACTGTGGACTCACCTTTGCGGAGTCGCAACAACAAATCTCTAAATCTGACTTGTTCAGAATTCATACCTTGTACTCGCTGATTGACAGTAAGCTTAACAGCTTTATCAAACATTCTGTATGTTTGATACCCTTGTTCACCAACATCACTTGATGGTTTAGCATGATAAAGAGGCTTGTCTGCCACAGGTGGTAACTGGCCTGGGTCACCAAATAAAATCAAGGACTTTCCTCC